AAAAAAAAAAATCTCAAGATGGCTTTTCTGGAATATTTAGGTAGTGAAGTTCTGTTTTCTTCAATGAATACAATTATCCGGCATACTTTTGATAGAATATTTTAATAAAATCATTTGTTCTAATCTAAGCATTTATCATTATATGCAAAAAGATTTCTTGATGAGAATATTATAGACGGTGCATGTTTTTGACATTAGCATTTTATTTGGATGACTAATCTTGCAGATGTGAAATTTTAATGAATTATTCATGAATTGCTTTCCTCTGAAATTTTAGTTTGCTCTTAATGCTAGTTATTAAACATTTTGTTTTCTTTATAAAATTTGATGAAAAAAATGAGGGTGTGCTTCCTCAAAAGATAGCATCTTTCTTTTTTTTTTTTTTACTTCCCAAATCTCTAAGTGGATACTTTCACTTGGAAATCCTGAGGATAAGAGCTTCAGCCTTCCCTGATGATGAAAGCTTTCAGTTAAGATTGATTTTTAATTCTGCATTGGAAGCAGCTGGTGAGAAATCTAAGGCATATGCCTGACATATACAGTATCGGCAGGTCAGGGGAAAGAAACTTAGGCTGTGGCGACTTTTACTACCAGTGTCAACAACCAGCATTTTTATTGCATTTGAGAATGCTATAATGTCAGTAATTAGTACTGACTACACAACATTTTTTTTATTGTCTGTATCCGCAGACATGAAATGATGGAATTACAGTTGATGTCAAGGAATGAGTTTCTTTTATGCCTTATCAAAACAAAACAAAGCAAAAAAATTCTTGTTACTGGCAGCACATATACACGAAGCACCATTCTCACAGTCCGGACTCTATCATCTTCATCAAGGCTTATGGGTAGCAGAGATTGCATGAGCTACACTAGGCCCAACAAATGCCTTCAGCATTGTAAATCTGATTCTCAGGATGAAAAAGCAAAACTGACTTTGAAGACATCCAAAATCTCAGAAGGCTACGTCATTACCCAAAGGGTACCAAAAGATTCAAAATCCGAATAAGCACACTCTTCTTTGTGCCTTTGGAAACAGAGCTCAGCTGGAATGTGGAAAGAGAGGAAATATTTTTTTAACTCTTTTTCTGTGTGTGAGTGGAAAAAAAAAAAAAGCTAATGATTTAGAGCATATCTTGGGTTAAGAATCCAAGGTTTTCTTTACTAGGTCTGACGGGATTCTGGGGATGCTGTTTGAGCTGTCCAAAGGTGGCAGGAATGGCGGTAACTCTTCATGTATGTACATAAGCCTTGATAATGCATTTTGCTGCTGGTCCAAGGTGGCAGCCTAACTCATCTTACAAGACAGACTCTAGGACAGGTAGGTTCGACCCTCATTCCTGACAGTGCATTTGTCTGACACACAGGACTACCTCCCTAATGTACGCTTTTCTTTGAGGAAAAAAAAGTTATAGATTTTCTTTACATCTTGGCACCTTGTAAAGTTTTTTTTTTTTTAATACAAAAGTTCACTCCCCATTGTTAATCACTACTTCACTGATAAACTTTGAAAGTGTGACCCTGGAATTTCATCATGCAAAATATTTACTGCAGCAGGAGAAAACAGTTTTTAAACAACATTTTTTTTTTCTTTTCAAATGTATGAACTTGTTTAAGATAGCCAGGAAGGCAGTGGTAGGATAAACAGAAGGGACAGGAACGTATCAAAAAACAGATTAACACGCACACACGCACGCACGCACACAAAAAAACCTGTACAAAATGCTCCAATCAATGAGAACAGGAAAAAAAAAAATCTTCAACTATGTTACAATTTAAAAGCAGAAAAAAAAGGGAGTTTCTCCCTCCCACATGTCAGGAAATGTCATCCAAAATCTTAAAGCAAGGATAACTAAATAAAATACATGTGCAGCATATTCTGCAATTCCATTACATACAGTAGTTTTTTTTTCCAAAGCTATTTTTTTTTAGTATCGTTAATATAAAGCAGTTGCACAAAAAGCAAAGGTGTTTTGACAAACAGGTGTATGCATTTATTCCTTTTTAGGAACAATATCTAAAAAAAGAACCGCCCTCCGCCCTCCCCCAAAAAAGACAAAGATTCACACAGACACATCGGGATATATGTACAACATAATAAACCCCATCCTAAAGAAGCAACTGGGATAACCCCCAGGGGATACAGAATCAGAACTGTAAAAATCATAGTGAAGTTTGCTTGCTGTAAAGCCTGAGAATATTTTTTTTTTTCAGTTGGTTCTTCTGCAAGGCTGTGATACCTGCAAAGATATGTAAAATCTAATTTTTCTTTTTTTTTTTTTTTGCTACAGTCTTTAGACTAAGCATGCAAGACATACAACTAAGTGCAACTGAGTGAAATGTATTTTTTTTTTAATTTTAATCATTCCCTAAAGGTTTGAACTGAGGTATGCGTACTAACAGTTTCTCATGCTGTTATCTTTACTCATGTCTAGCTACACATGCTGAGAATGAACTAATCTACCAGATTTTTATCCTCTTTTGAATACCAAACTAACCAGCAACCACTCAGTTTAGAAGCACAGGGCCCCCTTCCCATGACCCTGTCTGGCTATTGCCTGCACATCATGAAGCTGCCTGGAAAAGTTTTTTTTTTTTTTTTTTTTTTTTTAAAGTCTTGCGTGACCACAGACTGCCCTTTATACAGAAAGCAGAGTGAAGCTTCAAAAGTAACTGCCAGAGAAGTTTTTGTACCAAGCTTATGAGTGGATGGGAGTGTTACTTTTCTTTAAATGAAAAATGCTGACCAAAGCCTAATTGGAAAAGGAAGGAAGGAAAAATTAAAAATAAAAACAAACTGAAGGATATACGCCAAGATTAACCAAAATTAATATAGTGATCACAGCACAGTTCTTAAACAAAAGTGGCATACAATCTAAAAATATCTTTTTTTTCTAGAAATGCTATTATGTGATCTAGTTCACTTATGGAAGCTTTTCTGTTCTGACTCTAAACTGTCTCCTTTATTGGATACGCTAATTGCAGTGGCATACATTCATTTTTTCTGAGATGGGACTCCCTTCCTTCTGTAGCTCCTTTAATATTGTGTCCTATTTTTATCTGCAGTAGCCCCATAAAATCTCTTTAAGAGAAATGAGTTTTGGTCTCTGTAGAGGTACACAAAAAGAAAAAAGAAAAATAACTACTAGTAAAAAGTAACAACTTTGGTTCCATTTCTACTTGGTCTTCTAAATTTACTCTATGATGAAGGAGCAGTTCTCTTTCTCAGGTTGCAATAGCCTATCGCTTGTCATTTGCCTCTAAATTCTTTTGCCTCCTTTGATCAACAATAAGAGGATATTTGGCTTCATCAGATAAAGCATAAAATAGAGAACATAATTTACCTTTGTGTAATATCTTTGGTAATTTTAGAAAAAAAAGGTACAAAGAATATAAATTAAGCTTTGAAAGGCTCTCGAACTAAAAAAAAGCTACAGTGCTAGATAAATAAATGACAGGAAAAGTGGGTGCAGAGTGGAAGTGTAGAGGGGTTCTAAGGACTGAGGTTGTACTGACCTGTAACCATCACATTCTGCATACCATGTGTGGGAACTCCCAAAGCCCAGGACCTACATGGTACCTTCTATGAGTTTCTGATACTGGGTTGGCGATATAATATTGCATAACAAACTGCAGTACCAAATTTGCATATTTGAAATGAACACTTTAGCATTTGCTGAACTCAGTCCTCATTAACTCTCTTAAGAAGTTCAATCTGAAATGGATTTTGCATGCAAACAGTTTAATGCCACCAAGCAGGTCTGAACTAATGTATAAACTCGGCGCTGCTGCCACCAGGACCAGGTTTTTGGCCAATTTGCAAACAAAACCAACCCACACTCATTATCACAGAGCTCCGAAGGCCCATGACAAATGGGTTCCACGAGGGAGAGCCTTCCACGGCCATACCATCAGTCTAATTAGTATGAGCTTTTTTTTTTTTTCGGTGCTACCTATGTTTCCTTGTGCTGGTAGAATGTGGTGGCATTTATTAAGAATGATGGTTGCTGCAAAAAGGAAAAAAAAGGAAAATCCGAAACATCCCTCCCCCCAACCACCCCCAATACTGCTGCGTGGAAGGAATCAGCATTGTTCCTAGAGTTTGTCTGTCTCTTTTTTTCTGTCATTCATTCTCTTTCTGGCAGGACGTCACGTCTGTGTGAGAGGGCCTTCATGTGTAGAGTGCAGCATTTGGGACCTTTTTGAAAAAGACCAAAACGGAATGTTTTCTGACTTTAGAGAAACGGTGAAGTCTGAAGGAAGATGGAATGAGTGACAGAAAGCTACAAACAAGAAATGACATTCAGCTTTGTATAATAAAAACACCTATTAACATTCATCACAAGGTACAGAAAACTTTAAGCCTCCAAGAGGCCATCGGCCCAAATGGAGGCCTGAGGTCAGAACTTAAAATGGTATAGTAGAAGGAAAAAA